GGGGGGGGGTGCGGTATGGGGAGGTAGGAGAGGGGGAGAGGGAGGCAATAGGGTGGAGGTGCACACACGAGTGCCGGCGTTGGCCCCTACATGCGAATGCGTAAGATACAGAAGAGTAGAAAGAGGAGGAGTTGTGTGGCGTTACGGTTTGGCCTCCTCCAACATATATGCAGTGAGGACGAACAACTGACTCAGTGCTTGACAGGCAACCAAGCTCTCAGCATCTCCCGATAATTGACGCTGCACAAGGGTCAGAGGAATCACTCGAGAGAGTAAAAGAATCTCTTTAAAAAAAATGTCGAAAAAAAAATCGCGGAATTTTTTTTTTTTGTGAAAAAACATTTTTGCAAGGATCACGAAGGTCAGACATTATTTTACGGAAATGGATTATACAGACTCAGTGATTTATCAACAGTGAAACAGTGGAAATTTTGTGGGAGAAAAATTTGAACAGAAAAAAAAAACAAAAAAAAAACATTTTGTGGAATATGTTTAAAACAAATCGTCTGATAATGCCCGGCAATAGCCGTCAAACACTCTCGGATAAATCGAAAAAAAGTAACGGGAGCAGTAGCAAGAGTACAACCAGAATAAGAGTATCATATTATCTGGATTATTGACTCGAGTAATGATGTTACCCCCTTGGTGGATGAAGAATCGAGGATCAAGTGACACCTAATTGAGGTTCACAAATTAACGAAGAAAAAAAGAAAAATAAATCGCCGAAGCTTGAAATTTTTCCAAATCGCTATTAAAAACGAAAAAAAAAATTGAGCAAAAAAATCGAGGCCCTGGCCTTGGCATAAAATGATTACGAGGGGGCTCTTTCTCTTGTTGGTTGTCCTCGGGGCCTTTGATTTGCCACCGTCGAGAGTTGTTACATGGGCCAGTATGGCTATGGCTAATAGTCCAAATGGCGGTTGCAATGCGTGCCGAATGCACGAGGAGATAAGGGCTATGAGTTTAGAAGCTATTAAAGAACAGATACTTAATAAACTTGGACTTAAGCAAGCACCTAATATGACGGGACGTGCATTACCAAGAATACCGCCTATATCAAAATTAATGGACATGTATGGAATGCAGGCTGATCAGCCGTCAAGTGTTGAGCCTGGTATTACTCATCATGAGGAGATTGATGAATTTTCAGCTAAAACTGAGAGTGTCTTTGCACTTGCACAACCTCGTGAGTATTTTTATCGTCTATCATTTTTTTTAATAACAATTTTAGAAATGAGTTTGTGTCCAGACAGGAATTTCAGTTCGGAGATCATGTCCAGGATTAAATTCAGGTACGGTCCTAAATTCTAGTTCCGATAGGAATTGATGGTCAGGTGAGACTTAAATTCCTGTCTAGAACGCAATTTAGGTCCATACGTGAAATTATATTCAGGATTAAATTCAGGTTTAGACATGAATTTATGGGCAGGTGAGGCTTGAATTCTTGTCAATAATGGAATTTAGGTCCAGATGTGAAATTGTATTCGGGCTTAAATTCAAGTACGGGATTAAATTCAGATTACGACAGGAATTCATGTCCAGGTGGAATTTAAATTCCTGTCTAGAACTGAATTTAGGTCTAGGCGTGAAATTATATTCAGGCTTAAATTCAGGTAGGGAATTAAATTAAGGTTCCGACAGGAATTTATGGTCAGGTGGTACTTGAACCCCTGAGTTTAGGTCTAGAAGTCTCATATCTAAAGCATGGCTTGGCTTAAAATCAGGTATGGACGGGAACTCATGCCTCAACAGGAATTCTCGTTCAGACGAGACTGAAATACATGTATTCAAGTCTCGCCTGAACATGAATTCCTGTTGGGACATGAATTTATCTTGAGGTGAAAATTCACGCCGAGAATTCAGGTCTTGGTTTTAATCATGTCCAAGCTTACATTCATATCCAAACATAAAGACACAAATTGAGGTCCCAAATTAATTTATAGACCCGAATTCATGTCGAGCCATAAAATCATGTTGGGACCTAATTTTTTTCAGTCATAAATTCATGAATTCACGTCGTGACCTAAGTTTAGGTCCAGACCTAAATATTAAATTCTCGATACATTACTGAGTTTCCAGTCAGGAAGTTTTCTGGCGTTCCGATGAAATCATGAAGAATTACCCCCTATAAAGGATGTGGTGATCGATTTTTCGAAATTCATTGAATTCTCATCGATTGATTATCTTTTTTTCTTCCCACGAACGATGATAATGATGACTGAGACAAAATCGGTGAACTCAAAGTGCATTAACGTCTCTTCTATCTCAGTCTCTCTCCCTCTCTCTCATCGCAGTATGCGTTCGCGTTTATTTCGTGTACATACGTTCGCCCCAAAAATAGACGGTTTATCGCTGGCAACGCCACCCTTTTCTCGTTAAAGGAAATTAAAAAAAAACAATTACACTCATTCAACCATGCTACAGTCACTCTTCTCCCATTACTATTTTTTTTTCAATTTTCTGTTACAATTTTTTTTCTTTATTTTTTTGTGTATTTAGTATTATTTTTTATTATGTTCCTCTTGCTTTTATTTTCCTTTTTTGCTAAAACCAATTACTCTATTCTTGGATAAGCGAGACACGCGAGACGTGCCTCTCGTAAAAATAATATGGTCACGCTTGCGGTCGTGTGGGGATCACAAAAAAAAAATAATAAAGAAGTTAACAGAAAAAGTCAATGTGCAACTGCACTTGGTTTGATTTTTTAATAGCCTCGCGTGTTATTTATCACCTGTTTCATTATTTTCTTTTGTCTTTATTGTTTATTTGACTATTGAAAGTGATTTTTTTACGTAATTAATTTTTTTACTAGCACGTTATTTTGCAATTTCATAATTTTTTTGCTCAAATTTTTTTTTCATCACAATTTCTTCAGTTGAAAAAAAATTATTTTTCGTGGATAGATTACTATTAATCGTCATAATTGATGATTTTTCTTTTTTGGCACGAGGTATTATTTTTCACGGAGTCACCGACACCACTCATCATGGCAAGATCAAGGTCATGAGTGGTGAAAACAGCCTAGGTCAGGCCCATCCTCGCTCGTTATCGGCCAGACGGGGCTCAGACGTCAACAGACCAAATGTTTCAAGTTCGCTCACCGGAGAATTGACGTGCGAGGGGGTGGGGATCGGACGAAAATAAGAAAAAAAAGTGGAGGCGCGGTATTCTAGGATAGGGTCTGGCGGGAGAGGGGGATCGGGTGGGGGTGGGGGGGATTAAATGCGTGAAGGTGGAACATGGGAAAGTTCAGACAGATTGATGGTTCGAGAATCATCGGATAGCTGGAGAAATTTTCCGTCAAAAAAACAAATATTCGGCTTTATTTTCTAGTTAAATAATGGAGATGAAAGAAATTTTATCTCTCACCCAAAAAAAATGACTTACTAACAGTGAGGTCTACGTCGGCTTGATTCAAGTCGAGTGATTCGGACTCCGTAAATCCGAATTTCGGACCTGATATGAGCAGAAAAGTGGATTATTTTGAGAAAAAACGTGTCAAATCGATTTTTCTACCCGATTTACGTCGATTTGTCAGTTTGATTCAAGTCGATTTTTCGATTTGATTCAAGTCAATTTTTTGGTTTGATTCAAGTCGATTTTCCGGCTTAATTCAAGTTGTTTTCGGTGTGATTCAAGTGGATTTTTCGGCTTGATTCAAGTAGATTTTTCGGTTTGATTCAAGGTGATTCTAGGGAGATATACATGCGGTGGTGTTTTTATAAAAAACTTGAGTCAACTTGAATCAAACGGAAAAATCGACTTGAATCGAGCTAAAATTCGCTTTGAATCAAGTCAAAATTCGATTTGAGTCACGCCGAAAAATCGATTTGAATTAAACCGAAAAATTGATGTGAATTAAACCGATTTTTCGGTTTGATTCAGGACGATTTTTTTGGGTGCTTATTGCCTTTTTTTGACTGAAATTCCCCTGTATCGGAAGCTCCAGTCGAGCATTTTTGGCTGATCCGGTACCTTTGGAAATTTTCATCATATTACACACGGAGAAAAAAGTTAGAGAAAAAATACCGAACAAGCCAAATAATCGTGGAGCAAATTCAATTTTTAGTACTTTTTCAATCTCTATCGGGAAAAAAGTGCGAGATGAACAGCGAATTTTGTTTACGTTGGCCCGGAAAAATTAACGTGAATGTAGTTTGTGTCGAAACTGTAAAATTTACACTGCTTTCCCTCGCAAATTATTAGTGAACGTGAATGATTGCTCAATGTTGCCTATAATTTTTCGAAAAAATTTCACTTCTATTCGTCCCCACGACCTTTAGGTCTGGGAAATTTTACTGTACAGGAGGATAATTTTTGCATCCATAGATGTTTTTTTACCGAACGTATTGTAAAACATCCTCCACAAACAGGTGTTTTTGCATTGAATTACATTTCGCTCCACGATTACCTTTCGTACAGTAAAATTTTGCACAATTTTCCAGGTACTTTTTATTCAATTCCTATTCCTGTGTAGTTCCACTGACATTTCGAAAAATTTCATCAGTGAAAATTCAAAATTTCACGGAAAAATCGATGAAAACGGTGAATTTCAGCTCAATTATTCCGTAAAATGAATAGAAATAAGGAAAATTCAAGGGAAATATTTGGAATTCATTGAAATTCCATGATTTTTTCCAGTAAAATCTGAAATTTATTTTTTCCCCCTAAATTAAATTCAATATCACTCTCTTGAAAATTACTAGTCAACTGTCCATGAAATGAAATTTTTTTTCTAAATTTTAGGCTGAAATTTTTGCTCTATTTCTTGGGATTTTTCATCACATTACAGTTCCACTGAAATTTCGAGAAATTTCATCACTGAAATCTGGGAAATTCAGGTCAATATATTCTTCAATTGTCAATTAATTGAAAATTGAGCGTAATTTGGTCTGAATGTGCACGTTTCCATCGAACACTCAAGTGATTTGCGGAATTCTCGTCATTTTGCTGCACAAAAATTCGGAATTTCATTGAATTTTCATGATTGTTCTCTCTAAATTGAATTCAATTGAAAAATTATTAGTCAACTGTCCATGAAATTTCAATGTTTTTCCACCATTGTCCGATGAAAAATTAAAAATTCCCCCCCCCTCTCCCCCCAAAAAAAATCGATCTTTTCACCGTCAATTTGATAATTTTTCTCCGTGTTTTTGGTGGTTGGCGTGTAAAGTTGAAAATACGGGTTATACAGACTGTTCAAAGCCTGTTATTACGTGTAGCTAAGATATAAGTTAATTTGACGGTCGTTAAAGGTACGGACCGCCCGGTTCCGACGGTAATAATACTGTCGGCGCTATCAATTCGCATCATTCTACCATCAATTCCCCTGTAATACTGTTCCCTTTTAGTTTTTATACGAATTTTTTTTTTCCAAATCCACCCCTCTTTACATATAACCCGGGGCCACTGCTAAAACGATGGATCGTAAAAGCGAATATCGTAGCAACTGATAATAGATTAATTCTCGTCGGGACAATTGGAAACGAGTCGAGAATAAGCCGCCGGAGGCGAAAATAATCGATAAAATGACGATGTGTGACTTTTTGGAAAAAATCATTTTTGGATTAATTGCTCTATACTAGGATGTATTATCAATCAACACAAAATTGTATAGACAAGTGTGAGACAATAATACTAATTAGTAGCTGGAATCTCAGATGTTTATTCCAAGTTTTACGCGTATTACGGAACGCCACATAAACTCTCAATTGAAAAAATTAGAAAAACGCGAATATCTCGAAAACTTTGTATGAACGGGTATTCGTATTCTCATTGATACTGATAGGCGGCGGCAAGACGAGTATTTTGAAAGGAAAATTAAATTAATCGGACTAGTAGTTTGGGAGATATTGAACAAAACAATTTTTCACAAAAAGTTTAATATCTTCTAAGCCACTTGTCCGATATGTCCTACCCACAATCCCATTCTGTAATATCATAAGAGCTACAATCTCACTAAATTTCAACATCCTATCTAAATTTTTTCGGGAGTTGTCGTGCACAGAACGATTTTCTCATAAAAAACGGAAAATGCCGATTTTTATCAAACTGTCCTTAGTTACACAGCAATATTGTCATTTGATTTGATAGGTATCATCGCAAGAAATATTTTGACGTTAAAAAAAATTCAATTCAGTCACGTAATTTTCGAGATATTGAGGAAAAAAGATTTTTGAGAAATTG